ACTTAAAAATCTTAACAGCATAATTTAGGATTTATAACATATATAAAAGCAAAATGTATGATAACAAAGTACAAAGGTGGAAGAAAAGAAATATGAGCAAATTATGAATAGATTTTCATAAGATATGTGCAGAGGTATAATATCATTTGCAGGACAACTGTGATAAAATAATGATGTATGCTATAAACCATTACAATAACAAAGCAACCACTAAAATAACAAAACATTTATTAAATAATTATAAAAGGATATTAAATATAATCACAGAATATACTCAGCTAATCAAAAAGAATAAAGAACAAGGGAGAAAAAAATAATAGCTGGAACTAATTGAAAACACAGAGGAAGATGATACATTTAAACCTCACCATATGAATAATCATATTAAAAGTGTTCTAACTTAACCAATTTAATATCAAGATGCAAATATATGTTGCCCACAGAATAACCACTTTACGTATAAAGACACAAATAATTTTAAAATACAGGAGCAGGTGTTTGACCTAACAAGTAAGATGCACTCATCCCAGATCAGAGTGCCTGAGCTCTATTCTCAGCTGCAGTTTCTGACTCTGGCTTCCCACCAATGTAGAGCAGATAGTTTCAGGTTCCTGGCTTTGGCTGGGCCCAGCCCTGTTTGCTGTAAGCATTTGAGAGTAAACCAGCAGATGAGATATTTCTCTTTCTCTCTTTTCAAACAACTAATATAATGAAATTAAAACTTTTAAAGATTCATAGCAAATATAAATGAATACATAAGTAAATCTGATTTTTACCATTCACACCAACTGAGATAGGAGATATTAGTTTATTTGATGCTTGGTAGAAACATGAGTAAAGGTAAAGAGGGTTTATTTAAATTTGCCATGCTTCAAAATAACCTAAAATATGCTGCATGGATTTTTTAATAAAATCATTAAAATATTATTATAAAAAGATTGAAATTCTTCCATTTGCATCAAAATGGATGCAATTGGAGGACATCATGTTAAGTGACATAAGTTGGACACAGAAAAGTAAATACCGCATATTCTTCCTCATATGTGGGAGCTAAAATTTAAAAAGAATATCAAAAAACAAAAGAAATAAATCTCTGTATGTATCAGTGTTGCTGCAAATAGAACTTTGTCAAACTTTGTTTTACATCTTTATCAAACCAATGATTAAGAATGATATACTAGGAGATGGGAGGGTGGCGGGTGGGAGGAAAGTTATGGGGGGGGGGATAACAAAAAAAAAGAGTGATATACTACTATAGTTTTAATGATCAGAGATTATTTTAAAATTTACTACATATGACAGAAATAGACATCTTTTCATTTGATTATTGTTTATAGCCCTTGCCCTTGCTTATATTCCCAATGAATTACAGTCTTATTACTCTTTTTTTTTTTTTTTTTTTTTTTTTGACAGGCAGAGTTAGACAGTGAAAGAGAGACAGAGAGAAAGGTCTTTCCTTCCGTTGGTTCACCGCCCAAATGGCTGCTACGGCCAGCGCGCTGCGCCGATCGGAAGCCAGGAGCCAGGTGCTTCCTCCTGGTCTCTCTATGCGGGTTCAGGGCCCAAGCACTTGGGCCATCCTCCACTGCCTTCCCAGGCCACAGCAGAGAGCTGGCCTGGAAGAGGGGCAACCGGGACAGAATCCGGCACCCCAACCGGGACTAGAACCCGGTGTGCCGGCGCTGCAGGCAGAGGATTAGCCTAGTGAGCCGCAGTGCCGACCATCTTTTTACTTTTTTATATATTGAACTTTTCTCTTACTGGAGAAGTAAGCATTTTACTATAATTACAATTAGTGTTATCTCAAAAATTAAAAATTAAAGAAAACAGGAAAGAAGGAAGGAGGGAATAGGAGGGAGGAAGGGAGTGTCATTATGTTCATAGAATTGTATCTGAGCTACACTAAATCTATTCTCTTTGTATTAGTATCATATTAATCTGAGAATTGATGAGGATTGTGTTATAGCAATTATAATTATCATGCATTTACTGTGACCCTGAGAACCTAATGTATTAATAAATTCCTTTAAAAATAATAAAAGCCAAAAACCCCAAATTTTTTAAATAAAAATAAGTGAAAAAAAGAAAACAAGATTATTGTGTTTCCAACAAATAACTTATAATTTAAAAAATTAATTTATGATTTATTTTGCCCAGTATCTATATCACTATACCTGTGATAATTCCAGCTTTGACATTCATTCTGAGCAGCATAAAATTTGATGCACTTTGGTCTTATGTTTTATGCAGTCAAATGAGAATGTGTGTATAATTTGGGATCTTTCTACTTTGGGTTCAGACTGAATAGGATTGAGAATTTCTGGTAGCTTTTAAGCAAGCCCCACAGAAGCAAAGGTGCATAGTGGTAATGTGTTCGCTGGGGAGCTGTACCCAATAAATGTTACAATCCTAGAGGCTTCCAGGTACAGTTGAATTCCACTCCAAAGTGCTATGGGTGGAAAAGGGGAAAAGATTAGGCTATTGGAGAAAGGAATAAAGGAAGACACATCTGATTCTAGGATATTTCTTACAAAAAAAAAAAAAATAGCATGAGTATCCTTGTTATTTTCTGAATTCTGCTCACTTTCCTAGCAGGAAAAACAAACCTCTCTTCTTGTAATCTTATAATTTTTCCATCTACATAGAGTCTGTACCTTCAAAAATATTCCTAAACTGAAATAATTAGACCTAATAACATGTTTTTTTTTAAAGAAAAGATTTATTAATTTGAAAGTTGGAGTTACAGAGAAAGGGAGAGACACAGAAAAAGAGATCATCTGTCAGCTGGTTCACTCCCCAAATTGCTGCAACAGCCAGGGCTGTGCCAGGCTGAAGCCAGGAGCCAGGCGCATCTTCTAGGTTTTCCACATGGGTGACAGGGGCCCAAGCACTTAAGCCATCCTCCGCTGCTTACCCAAGCAATTAGCAGGGAGCTGAATCAGAAGTGGAGCAGTCAGGATAAGAACTGAGCCCAATAGAGAATGCTGGTTTCAGTGACTTTGCCTGCTACACCACGGTGCCAGCCCTAGACCTAGTAACAGCCCACAAATCTGAATTCAGGAGACTGGACTGACAGGGGTGTAATTTCACTGCCTTTCCAGGCACATTGGCAGGAAACTGATAGAAAACAAAGCAGCAAGGACTTAAACCAGCACTTTGATATGGGATTCCTGCATCACAAGAGGTGTCTTAACCTGCTGCACCATAGTGTTGGCCCCTGTTTATACATATTTTAAAATATACATCAACATTTAGTGCCTGTGCTGCTATTTATAAATATCATTTGTTTCAAAAAGTTTCAGAATTGTCACATAACTTATGTTGATAATGTGTATTTTTATAGGTTTGTGTGGTGTACATAAAGGTATTCTCTAACAGTTTCATACTCATATGTAGAGTTATTTCTCCTCACCCCCCAAAACATGAAAACAGAAACAGTGTAGTGAGGAAGAGCACAGAGGCTATAAAATCAGAAGACAGAGGTCCAGTCCCAGCTGTACTACACAGAAGCTCCAAGTTCCTGCAAAGTTAGCCTATGTTGACCTGTTTCTTTTCTTTTATTTAAAAAAAAAAAAAAAAAAAAAAGAGGGAGGGAAAGATCTTCCATTTGCTGGTTCATTCCTCAGTTAGCTGCAACTACCAGACTGAAGGTAGGAGCCAGGATCTTCCTCCAGGTCTCCCACATGAATAGCACGGGCCCAAGCACCTGGGTGATCTTCCACTGCTTTTCCTAGGTCATTAGCAGGACGTGGGATCAGAAATGGAGTAGCTAGAATACATCCGAATGCACCTCAGGTGGACACCTCAACCACCATGCCACAGTGCTGTCCCCGGCTATTTCTTCAAACCTTACCTATGGATGATATAGGGTTGCTGTGAGGGTTAATCAAGGGAATTCATTAAATATCTTAGCCTATAGCCCAACACATAGTGAGCACCCACAAAAAATCCAAAGGTTGCCTTTGAACTGCAAACACCTTTAAGGCACAGCCCACCCAATGATTATAGAAACTATTGCAGGGGGCAGTGTTGTCTTCCCTCGGATAAAGCTGCCATCTGCGATACTGGCATCCCATGAGTGCCCATTGGTGTCCCAGATGTTTTATTTCCTATTCAGCTCCTTTCTAATAGCCTGGGAAAAGCATTGGAAGATGACCCCGGTGCTTGGACCCCTGCCACCCATATAGGAGACCCCAGTGAAGCTCCTGGCTCCTCTATTCTGCCTGGCCCAGCCCTAGACTTTTTGACCATCTGGAGAGTGAACCAGTAGATGGATGATCTCTCTCTGTGCGTCTTTCCTCTCTCTCTCTGTACTCTTTCAAATAAAAAAAAATCTTTATAAATATAATTGCAGAGCAGCATGACTACAATGCATCCTAGCAAAAGCAATATCTGAAAATCGTACTGAAATAAAATGAATACTTCTAGAACAGCAGAGAAGGCCTAAAAAAAGAATAATATAAAGGGAAAAGACCTAGTTTAAGTTCTAACATTGGCCTGTTACTTAACTGGCTGCTTATTTTATTCTAACTGACCATTTCATAACGTGTAAGTTGAGCATGACATATATGCTCAATCAGTCACACTGAGAAATTCAAAGATGTTGTTTACAACAACATTTTCACTACTTTGATAGTAAATGATACTTTTCAATTTGAGGAACAACCATAAAATTGAATGACATTTCTGTATGTATCAATCACTAGTCTTCAAGTATTCATATCTAATAATAAACAGACAAAGCAAATGTGGCTCTTCAGGGCCATTGTTGCATTAGAATCAGAACCACAAGTTCAGTGCTCACAGGATTCCTCCTCCATACCCACTCCAAGTCAGGAAGAAGCCTAATAGAACTCAATGTTTGCTTAAAGAAACTAATGCTACAAAGCTTTGAACAGTCGATCACTAAAATATATCTTGAAGTTTGATTTTTTTTTAAGAAAAATGCCATTGGCTGTCATATTCTTAGTCCTTTAAAGATTATTTTATTTGTTTCACAGGTCTCCTGTTATGGCTGGAGGTCTCTTTTCTGTGGATCGAAAATGGTTTTGGGAGTTAGGTGGCTATGATCCAGGTTTAGAAATCTGGGGCGGAGAACAGTATGAAATCTCTTTTAAGGTAAGCCTCCAAGATCTACTTCCCACCTATGTCAGCATAATTTTGACAATTCTGATGGGATATCGTCATTGTGCCTTGTGTTGTATGTTGTGAGATGAATTAACACCAATGATAGACATGTCACCTTCCCAAGTACACATTTGGATGAGACAAACTACTTCCTTCTGATGTTTCAGTGAGATATAGCCATGCCATTTTCAAAAAGAAATGAAACTCCCATTTTGCAGGTAAGAAACTCAGTGTATCGACAGGGATATGGCTCCACTGACAAGTACCTTCATTCTAAAGCATTTATAACTTAGAGGAATTAAGATGCATTAAGATGTAACAAATCAAGGTAATGAAGTTTTTGCCTTTTTTATTTGTTCTGTCAATAGCAGTTCAGATTTTCATCATAAATTACTCATTCAAAATTCCAATAACAGAAAAGTAAACAAAAATGTAACTGACAAGTTGAAATCTTTCCATGTAACTCAAATTAGTGACTTTTTGACTTATTTTATTTGAAATTGTTCAGCTCTCTACTTGCTTTGAACCAGAAATACTAAGTAAAATTGCATGCTTCATGATATATGCATGCAAGTATTTATGATAGAGTATCAAATTTCATGATTTGTAACTGAAAAAATTACCATAGCATATGAAGAACAGTTATGCAAAGCACAGTAAGTTGTACAAAAGATTATACTACAGACTGCTGAGATTTTTTTTAAAAATAGTCTTATAAAGAGAAAAAAACTCATTTTTTCTTTTTTCTTCTTTATCATAATTATTATTTATACAGAAGTATAGAATGAATCTTTCAAGGGTTATCGTACATAGCTATCTTATTAAGTAAATCAGTTCCTTTTAATTACTTCCATTGTAAAATCAAACCGTTTATTTCTGAGGGAAAAAAATGTATCCTAAAGGTAATAAAAGTCAAACATAGGAATCCAACCAGACTTTTAGTTATTTATTTGTTTATTTATTTATTTATTTGAAAAAGAATAAGAGAAATCTTCTACCTCTTGGTTCACTCCACAAATGCCCACAACTCGCAGAACTGAGCAAGTCAAAGCCGAGAGCTTGGAATTTTATCGCAGTGTCCCATGCAGGTGACAGGGACCAAATATTTGAACGACCACCTGCTACCTCTCAGGGTGTACATTAGCAGGAACCTGCATCAGAAGCAGAGGTGAGACTGGAACACAGGCAGGTCTGAGAGGTGATGCGTGCTTCCCAAGTGGCAATTTAACTGCTGTACCAAATGATTGCCCTTAGACATTTTGAATTTTTATATAAAAAGCAAGTGACAAAGTTGACTTTTATCAAATTCTGGTCAATGTTAACATCATGTTGTCATAAAATAAATACCCCCGGAAGAAACTCAAGAGGCCCAAGTGCCTGCTTCAAGACATTCAAAATTCTCCCTCTCATTACACTGGCACTGATCCTTTAAACACCACTTGTTAAATTACTAGTGCTTTTTTCACCATCATTCAGATACATCTAATTTCACATCTAAGATGCTTTTTTGAAAACATTTTTATAGAGGCATTATTTTAAATCTTTGGGTTTATTGGTGTCTCTTGGATTCTTCTATTATGGCAATAGTTGTACACCTCGTTACAATGTGTATAAGGGAAGATGATAATAATAAGTTATAATTTTAGAAACAGCATCCACTGCATTACTTAGAAGTATATGCCAGATGCTTAGCTAGATACTTTATGTGCATTGCCTGATTTTAAAGCAAAACTCTAAAATGTGAGCATTAGCATTCTGTTTTACAGATGAAAAAACTGAGACTTAAAGTTTTAAAGACTTTTACAATAGGTTTATTTTTAAGCTTTAAAAGTGAAGCAAATCACCAATGTCACCTAAGGGTTAAAATGTTCCATTTCTGCTTGATTATATAGACTGCAGAAATATGGAACTGTCTGACCATACAGACTGCAGAAATATGAAATTGTCTGACACCAAAATCGTATCTACTAACATCATTCTCAGGTTCACTATTAACCTTTTAATCTTGACCTAATAATTTATCTCATTGAACAATAGGTAGCATTTTCATTATAGTGTAATAACATAGTAGAAAACTTTCTGCTGATCCTGGGAAAATGGTACTGATCATCAGATATTCCCCAAATATCAGCTGGGTGCAAAGTCTGTAATACTTTCAACTGGATAGACAGAATACTGCATTCAGTCCCAGTATTTTAAATAATGCCATTGTTGGGCCAGCATTGTGGCATAGTGGGGAAAACATCAGCATCCCATATGGGCACCAGTTCCTTTCCCAAGTGCTCCACTTTTGATTCAACTCCCTGTTAATGGTCTGGAAAAAACAGCGGAGGATGGTCAAAATGTTTAGGCACCCCACTACCCATGTGGGGGCCCCAGATAAAGCTCCTGGCTCCTGGCTCCTGGCTCCTGGTGTCTGTCTGAATCAGCCCTGGCCATTGCAGCCTTCTGAGGAGTGAGCCAGAGGTTGGAAGATCTCTGTCTCTCCCTCTTTTTCTGTAACTCTATCAAGTAAATTCGTAAATCTTTTTTCAAAAAAAATTGGCGTTCCTTTATTTGCAATATCACTTGTTTTCTTAAGTTGTCTTAGTTCATGATTCCTTTAAATTTAAAATGTTATTAAGAAAATTTCTAATAAACAAGACTTAGCTGACTTTGAATAATGAACTGTCTGATAGATAAAATTGCTTTTGAAAGTCTGGAGAGTTGGCAGAATATATATTTGCATTCTGAATCACAATGGTATTTTTTAGGTAAACATAAACTTGCGTCTTTCACTTCTCTGTCACTTGTATCTATCACATCTTTTCTGGGTGACCTGAGATTTTATTACCCCATTCCTATTTTTCAGTTATCTGTCATTTTGAAGGGTATAATTGGAATTGCAGCCCTGTCGCCTTTGTCTAGAAACCATGGCAACAGTGCTGGAAGTTCAGGACTAAATTGCCCCAGGTTGTTTGGTTGGAATGACAGATTCTTTGGCGACAGCTATGCCTTAACAGGGTCCCGTTTCAGACGTATCCCTTCATTCTTCTCACTACTATTCGCTGACCTTGGGGTTCCTGTCCTACCCTATTAGTATTTGTACCATGAGGAACGCCAACTTAAACAGACTGGTAGAATTTACATTGAAGCAGGAAGAATTTTCTCATATGAAAGGAATCAAACACAAATAGCTCTATTAAAGGATAATAAAAACAGAAAAATCAAATGTCTGCACTTTTAGACATGTCTTATAAACTGATTAATTTCATGGTGTAAAGCACTGTAAGATATACACTGGTCAGCATTTAGGTTTTGGAAAATATGAATGGATAATTGAAAGTTCACTAGTCCATTTCACATTGTAATATAGGAATTCTTTTAAGTCTAGAACATAAATGTGCTAATTCAAAAGACTTTTATGAGAGGGGTCATTTTCAAGCATCTTTGCTTGCTATTTACTCTGCAAACAAAGAATCATCTCACTGAAGTTTTTGACAAGATTCTCTTGCTGAATGAAAATATTTACAGAGATCTCTGTTTTAAATGAAAGAATGAGTATTTGGTTATGGTGCTCTTCAATACTCTTTGTAAATATCTTTCCACAATTGTTGTAAAAATCCTGAGTAGATTAAATGAGTAGACTTCATGGCATGGCATGAAGCCAATACAAAATAATTTTCAGGATTCAGTTGTTTAAAAGAGCCCTTCAGACAAATTACCTGTCTGCAGAATCCTGCAAGATGAAAGTCAACCCCTGCATGGGCCCAGAATTATCCAATTTTCTTTCTAATGTTGCTAGGTTAGCCAGATGCTAAGAAGGGGAAAGCAACATTTTGTCAGTCATCCAACCAGCTTTTATTGAGCACCTAATTTATGCCAGACATTGTTCCAGGTACTCAGTTTGGAGGTGCACCTGGAAATAAAGAGGAGTTCAAGATAGATTGCATGGTGTGGCATAAAGAAAGACAATCCACATCCTTAAATATTGTCTACAGTTGAAGTTATTAAAAGAGTGTTAAACCATCCCAAGTTTCTAATTTTTCAAGGTGTATTTTAACATTCATTATTCAAAGATAAAAGTCCAAAGGTTAGCATTTTCAGTATATCAGTACTTTGATTACAGAAACTCCTCTCAGAAAATAAGTGAATAAACACTAGCAAGGCAGTAACACGAAATTTAGAAGGAAGCCCAGGAACTCTATTAGGCAGAATCCTCTGGCAAGAGGCATAAGGTTTGGATCCAGGAGAAAGTATTAAATTTAGTTTGGGCTGCCCTTTTGCATCCCCAGGAGCTCATCAACAAAGTCCTACAGTGATCCAGTATTTCGTGGGCCATCTGTAGTACAGCAAGAGCTCTTGATCAAAGCCTCAGCTGTCCAGAAATGTTAAAGGCTCCAGGTGAGATAACTATGAGTACCATATGTCCTAGAATGAATCTAACGTATCTGGGAGCCCACAACCTATTTCAAAACCACTCATGTAACCACTTATGTTGTGTACTGTCATCGTTCCCATGTGGTAAACTTAAGATCTAGACATTCCAGGGAATTTTAACTTACCTCTCACAATGATTCAGCCCCTGTGAGTAATTAATTCATTCAATAAATATTTACCTACTGATTAGAATGTGCCAACTATGATCTAAACTCTTGAGATTCAAAGGCAAGTGTAAGAAGCTTCTGTTTATCAGGAGGATCTTACTCTCTAGTGGCAGCCTGCACAATTCATTCACCATAATTTTTTATCTTCCATAATGTTTGGAATGTATGTTATTTACATAGTTAAGGCAGTAATTCAAAACATCTAGGGGCCGGCGCTGTAGCGCACTAGGTTAATCCTCTGCATACAGCACCAGCATCCCATATGGGCACCGGTTCTAGTCCCGGTTGCTCCTCTTCCAGTCCATCTCTCTGCTGTGGCCTGGGATAGCAGTAGAAGATGGCCCAAGTGCTTGGGCCCCTGCACCCGCATGGGAGACCAGGAAGAGGCACCTGGCTCCTGGCTTC